CCCCCCCCCCCCCCCCCCCCGCCCCCAAGCATTCTTTGCACACTGGCAAGTCAATATTAAGGGCAGATTCTGTTTCCACACTTTATGGCATTAGATAGTTTTCTGACCCTTAAACACCAGCATTTTTCTCGTAATAAAATAGAAGAATGTCTTCAACTGTTATAAAATGAGTCTAGATTAGAGATAGAGGTGGAGGGGGCCGGCAGAAGAGAGAAATGTACTAGAAACAGTGTAATAAAGCCTAATTGTATTAGTTTTGAAAAGGATTTTCGATCTTCTTCATGGATAATTTTATTCCTATAATGGTTGGAGAGATGGAAAACACAGCACTGAACAATCTTTTATATTAGCTACTGCTTTTATAGAACTCTTCTTTCATTTGTTCTTGACTTTTTCGCTTCTGTAGTTACTGTTTTAGAACTTATAAATCCTTTAAAAAAAGGTTGAATGAGAGACAAGTTGAAGGGGAAACTTCTGCACAGCTGTTGTTTGGCTAGATTGTCACGGATGGATGTCCTGGAATTAGGAAGCCACGCTCTTTGGGCATTTAGGAGAGGCTGGGTGGGTGTGAATGGCAAGATGGTGATTCAGAGCAGAAATAAGAGGCCAAAATCCTCCTTGAAGGAAACAGTCTTACCCTTACCCATCTGTGCTTTTTCCATTTTTCTTTTATAAAGGCATGGATTTGGTTCGGTCCTTGGCCTCATGGATTATCAATGTTGTCCTCCAGATGTAAAATGCAAGTCTTATTGATTCCAGTGGACATTATTTTGACATAAGTCATGGCTGATGAGGCTGTTGAAACATTGCTTTTTCTCCAGCGTGCTTCTTTCTTTACTACATGTACTAAACACCTCATAAAATAAAACCTATAGGCACAGTACAGTTCAATTAAAAGAATAATAAACAACAAAAACGCAATAGATCAATAAAATGCGATATTCCATAAAACTACGGTCCTTAACTATTTTAGTGAATGTATGAAAGATAGAGCAGGCAGTTGAAGAACAATTTTCCCATCCTTTTTCTTCCTTTCTCCTAGCTGACGTAGGATGGCATAAGAAATCTATTTTTCCTTATCGTCTCCATATCTGAAAGGCCACACAGATGTAGACTCCAGTTTGCATTTCTGTACACAATCCAGCCTAATTCAACCTCACAAAAATTACCTGGATGACTAAGTCACCCATGACTGCTGACTGATCAATTTCAGTTTCTTCCTTGGAGCTGCCCAACCTCCTAGAGGATTCTCTATCTGTGGAACAGACTTCATTGATCTTTGCCTGAGTAGCTAAGAGGCAAAAAATCAGCCAAGAAGTTGTGCCAAGAAAGCCTGGGGATGCCTCTTCTGAAAGCTGCTTTGGTGTCTTACTCTTCATAATTTAGTTACATAATGGTTTGTTTGTTCACTTAAAAAAAAGGCCAATAGCTATTCCTGAACTCCTCTTATCTAGATTTTTAAAAATAAAAATATTGAACTGGAACTGGAACCTGCATGCTGGCTATGCTAACCATTTTGTTGGTATGTTTGGAAGATACTCTGAAAAGAGCTAGACCTTTCTCCATATGGGCCTGCATTTTCATGTATCCAGGATATGACAGTTGTCAAATGGGTGAGTATAACTACATCATCTCACATGTTTGGAAATGCAGACATACCTATCTGTTACCAATTCCATCTACTTTCCTGTGCCATCCTTGTGATTTTTGTGCTTCTTCTGCCTTTTGCTGATTCTCAGTGCCGATGGCCAGTGGGCATTGGCTTCCTTTTGAGGGACTTGAATCACAGTGTGAATTTACAATGCCTTGCTTCATTGATCTGCCTGCCTCTGTGTCAGGGATGAGAATCTTTGTTGCCAGCTGAGGTATTTGCTTGATTGACGCCTCCAATGGTCTTCATAAGGCAAGAGCTTTCAAGAACAGATATCATCTAGTTGCCTATCCCTCCAAAGCCCACTTGCTGCTAGCCAGACTGTGCTACATACAAAAAAGCAGACATACTGCAGAGATGTGCCTGCTGAGAAGTGATGCTAGAGAGACTGATCTTGCCTTGTCAGTGGAAGGATTTTATCTGGAAGCATCTCATATTATGGATAATGTACAATTGTGTGTCCATAGAGAGAATTCTTTTGTGACTCTGCTCAGAAAATAATCCTGTATTTCT